ACACAGGCAACTCCACTTCCCTAAAACTTTATAGGTTTACTCACCAAGTGATTGCCAGTACAATAATGCCTTAGGATAGACTGCCCTCAGGAGGCCACAGTGAAATCTCTTCATGGGATACAACTAACTCACTCAGCATGCACCAAATCAGCCAACACTATACACTCCTGTTACCGCAGTCTGCAAAAGCTGTTCCCCATCAGAGCTCCTCCTTACAGCTGCAATATCTAAAAAAAAATCCCAAACCAAAACCACCTCATGAACATTTTATGTGTCCTGCTACAAACTTTTACAGAGAAAAATCACAGAATCACAGCTGGCTTGGGTAGGAAGCAACCCTAAAGATTATCTAGCTGTAAGCCCCCTGCCATGAGCAGGGACAACTCCCACTAGACCAGGTTGCTCAGAGCCCATCCAGCCCATTAACTGCAACAGATGCCTCAAGAGCAAGAAAAGACTGTTTATGTTAGACAGTGAGCTCACTATAGCAAAATCTAAATTACAAACATATTTCTTAAGAGATAAGCAAAAGTAAGGCTCCAATGACCTACCTAAGACAAAAGATGAACAAGAGTAATCCATCATTTTCCTAAACATTAGAAAAATACAGAGAAGACATACAAAACAATTAACTTCCTACGTCTACAATGTGCTTCAACTAAACCCCAGAACATGCGTATCACACTACCTATGAACTTTGAACTGAATCAAACTCAAAGCCAAGAGAAGAAAAATTTTAGGTTTTCTAATTTGGCAGTGACAAGGCAGGTCAGAGAAATGAGTAAGTACTGTGGTACACAACCTTCTTTTAGCAAGGATATCCTCTCTGAAGCAGGAACCCAGCAGAGTAAAAACTCAAAGCAGTCATTATGGGTGAATCAGAAAGAGGGTTGCTGTATAAGACGACTGCATGCTGACTTAAATGACAGCTGCAAAAGCAGCTACCCACAAAACCTGCCTTGATGGTCTCTTTAGAAATTCTGTGGTAGTAGTGAAAGGCCATCTACAAACCAGTGAGATGGGGTGGGGCAGGAGACAAGATGTGGAATAAAACACAGAGTAAGTTAAAGACCAGACTTGCACTGCAGCCTTCTCTAAATGCTCCCAAAACTAGATGGATGAGGCAAAGTTTCAATGTATGCCTGAAAAAACAGTTGTAGGAACAGGACTACAGTTCTTTAGAACTGGAGTAGTGGGAATCCATAAAATACTTTATTCTTAAAGAGAAAAAAAGGCAAAAAATGCTAGTATTTAAGAGATTATAGGAGACTTTTAAGCAACATAGTGGGTGAAGAAACATTAGATGGATAAGAGCACATTCTCTCACTTCCATTAGGAATGGAATCACAGAAACTTTATATAATATGATAGTGCACTGAAGTTTTCAAAATTCAATTGAATAATCACTGTAAGTCAGTCAAGTACAGTCTGACCCACAAACACCCATATGCAAAAAACCTCAAACATTTATATACAGCTTGGCGTAAATGCCAGCAGCACAAGATGCAAAGCCCAAATGTCTGCTTTTAATCAAGGACAGTGACAAAACAGACATACCAGAAGTATGATGGAAGTAAGATCAAAAAGTAAGATATTGATACAAAATATATAGAAGAGTCATAAAAATAAATATCAACACATTAAATCGTCCAATTAAACATGGATTGAATTTCCAAACCTAGCAAGGTAAACTCTGCTATTAGATGATATTGGTACTCACACCATGAAGATGGATATGTATAGCCATAGCTATGACATCTGAGAAGTCTAAGGCCAGCAATGTAACTGTGATGACAGACAGCAGCCATGAGTATGTTGGATAAATGTCACACTGAAGAGGCCAAGATCACTTTTTTAATATATTTTTTTTTTATGCAACTAATCAGGCCCACCCAGCTCTGGCTGTGGCCACCCCAACCGTGCACGACCTGAGCCAAAATGCTGTTTTCAAATAGTGATTTTTTTAATGGTGACTTTTATTTCTGCAAGTCTATTGGCCAACTTTATTAATAAAGACAGAAATCAATACCACAGACTTCCATAAAAAAGAAGCAACATATAATAAGAAAATATTAAAATGAAGCCTAAAAGACAAGTCAAAATTAAGATGCGGCCCAGTGACAACACTAAGATTGAATGTACTGAACTTCAGTACAACGATTTTAAATACACACATCAAATTCAATTTATTTTTGTGGAGAGGGGGAAGTTCCTAGCATTCAAACATCAACCTTTGTAAAACCAGCAATCTAGCTTTAGGAGTCAAATGGAATCTGTCACTGAATGTAACATTTACAGCCAGATCAGAGTTCAGAGGAATAATCTGCAAAAGTACATTGGCACCTCAGGAACAGGAACTGTGCCTGAGGAAGGCAAGATGATCAAAGGAAAAAGCAAAGTGCTCAGGGAAGGAAAACCCACTGGGGAAAAAAATCCCCAGACTCTGAAGAAATCCCTATGATCAGTTTTTGGTACCATGGAGGAACTTGAGGAGAACTACATGCACCTTGTTGAAGGTTTTACTGCTTCCTTTACACTGGGAGAGGTTACAAAAGAAAGAGTGACAAAGGAGAAAGATGAGGGCTTTCAGTCCCCAGCTCCATAAGAAAACAAGTAACTGCAGTGGGAAACTTCTGAGTGAAACCTGCCTCAAGTGACCGGAAGCTGGCAAATGTGACAGCAAGTTCTTGTGGTTTTAGTGGGTGGAAGGACCACTTGTTTTTTAAGAAGAGATTCCAGAGGGAACCAGGGAATTAAAGCCGAACTATATTTTTCTGTATATAGCAAAGAGCCAAAAATTGTTCTAATGCAAAGAAAACAACGGGATAATCATACCGAGCTGCTTTTGCAAAGGAAAATCATGTTTGATAAACATTTTAGAGTTCTTCTAAAGAAGAACTTAAAAGAGATGAGAGTACAGAGATCTAATAATGGTGCATACTTGAAATTCTAAAAGGCATCTGACACATTCCCTTGCCAAAAACTACTAAAGATGCTGTGCTGCCAAAAGAAGTTGCCATATCAGTACATTGTTTAAAGATAGAAGACAAAGAGTATGAATCAGCAGCTGTTCTCCCCTAAGCATGTGCAGTGCCAATAAAACACCACAGTTCCGCTGCTGGGGCAGGCAAAGTATCACCTATTTCTAAGGGTTCTGAGACAGCAGTTTCTGAATGCCACAGTGTAGTCCAGTCAAAGTCACAAAGGGATTAAGGAATTAAAAAATTGCAGAACCATTTCACTTAAGAAATAGGTGTTAAAAGCAGTAAACCAAACTCATTGTAGAGATTTGAGAACAATTAATGCTGAAAAAAATACAAAAATTCAGACTTTTGTACATATATATTGAAATGAACACCAAGTTGAACAATAATTATTCAGAACTGAGTTATTGTTCTGAAAATATAAGTGCAAACGTTAGGAAAAAGCAAAACACCTTGGCATCATTTTTGGAAACAATATAAAACAAAACATAAAACAAATTATTTTTTTAATATATCCACAGTGAATTCTGTAAGAAGTTCTACCTGGTGCTCCTTCCTTGAGAAACTGGAAGAGTACAGCAAAGTTCCACAAAGACAATTTAAGATACAAAAGAGCTCTCCAGCAACAAGCAATTAAAAGAAATATGACTCTTCAGCACAAAACCGAAACAGCTAAGAGAGGCAGGATAAGATAGAGGTCTACAAACTCAAAAGCAAAACAGAGAGAGCACCTGAGGACTGTTTTAATGCCTGCAGGCCTCAACCAGAGCTACCCATTGGTGGATTCAAATATCCCAGTCACAAACTGCTGGAGGTACCAGAGTGTTCCAAGGTGACACACACCTGATCTGTTACCTACCCTGCACAGTCCCTACTTCCCCTGTCTGAGACATCACACCAGGCCAGACAGAACCAGGATTATGTTAACCAGTTTTCTGTTCTAATTTACCAGTTCAAAGAAAAGGGAAGCAAAAGCTTTTTAAAAGTATGATTTAAAGCTACCAACACTTCAGTCTGGCCCTATGGCAACAGCAATAATAAAAACATGCTATATACTGGAACTTTTTAAAGAAATTACTCTGTGGCATGCTGAGATTCTTCTGACAGCATTATTTCAGGTTTTAATTGCAAACATAAACTAAAAATTCCATTGCTAATAACTTATTTAACAGCTCCCTTACCCCAAAAAAAAATAAAGAAAGGTAATAATAATTAGGATCAGAACTTACTAAAAGAAAATTATTTCTAGTTTCTTAGGTTTGGCTTTTGGTCAAGAAATGTCACACAGGGTTTGTCTGTAAAATACCAAAGACGGGTATGGGCAGCAGCCAAGTCACTGACATATTCCTACTTCACTTGTGAAAATGTTCCAGCTGTCCTTCCTCACCTTCAGTGCCCTTGGAAAAATTCACATCATCTCTGGCCAACTCCTTCTATCAAGGAAAAACATAATTAGCAATTATATTTTTGGTGCAAAGACACATATGACACATAACAGCGATAACAGGAAGATAAGGACTCATGGAAGGATTACTTCTAGTGGTATTTTATATTCCAAAGTGAGTAGCACAACCAACTGTAAAATCTCCTGTTCATACACATACTCCTTGTATTATTTCTCAATACATACCTGCAAGAAGCTTGAACATGTATTGTTTTCTGGCACAAAGACAAAATTTCTCAGCTGCACAAATCAAGAAAGAAGAAAATCTCCAACTTTAAAGACTCAGTTATCATCAGTGAGATCTCTTCTTTCTGTATCGTGGTGTGTGCCAAGATGGGAAGCAATTTCAAAAGCTGAATCAACATCTGGATCATGATGCAGAGAGCACCAGAGCTAAGAAGTGAAGGTCCTGAACCACACTCATAGTTTTCTTTAGAGATAATAAAAACATCAATTATCAAAAATTACTCAAGCTCAATAGAAAAGCCTGAGGTCAAACACTTGGTAAGTTTTCAGCAAGACAGGAACACTCAAAATCATTTACAGCAGAATAATTACTCTGCTTCAAAAGTCGCTTCGAATAAAATAAATGGCCATTTTATTGACTATACTCACATATGAGGGAGCATCAACTTAACAGCGGAACTGAGTGTTCATGAAGATACAGAGCAAAACACAAAACACCTTGACTTCGTGCTCTGGAAGTGATACCTGTTCTAAACATCTACTGAGTCCTTGTAAAGCGTCTTACAGAGCAAGGTCTGCAGCTGTAGAGTTCAGCAGTGCATGTGCAGCTCAAGCTGAGAATATGACAGGATTAGCAGCTCCAGTGCTGTAGCAATCCTTCAGTGGGCACATACAAGAGACACTGGATTGAGTGAGTGCTGCACATACATTCAGGAATGGAACTGGGGCTTTGACTTTATAAAAACACATTGCATATAATTAAAGCTTCTAAAGGCAATTCAGGTATGCTGAAGATCTAGAAGTTCCTAGCTTTGTAGTGTTAGGTACAAACAAACAAAGCTCAAAGGAAACTCCTTGCTACTTTGTAGGGACTAACTGATAAGAATGCAAAACTATGCATTCAAATCTTTGCCCTACTTGAAAAACTTGATGCAATCATACCTGCCACCCAATAAACACGTCTCTGCACTTTATTAACCTTTGTGTAACACGATAATTCAAATAAAATCTCATTCTATCCCAAATCAGCAAACAGGACTTTATAAAAAAACCAGTGCTTTAAAAATGTATCAATACATTATTAAAGCTATCACTGTATCAAAACCAGATCTTTTTCAAATTGCTTCATACACAGACTTTGTCATACCAAACAGACTTTCAGGCAGCTAATCACACACGTTGCACTTCACTGCTGCTGAATTTCTTCTCTGACTAAGTAAGACCAAGTCAATTATGTACATCAATCTTCAAACAATTTCCAACCCTCTCCCTTTATTTAATATATATTTATATATTACCATCATGACATTAAAGCAGTCATTTATTCAAGGTAGAACTTAGGTCATAAGCTGCAAGCCTCCATCTACAACCAGAACACTCCCTGTAACATATGGGCATTCTAGAAGGAAGACAACAGCTTGTGCAACTTCATGAGGCTCTCCAAATCTTCCAAGGAGAATTGCTTTCTTCAACTGATCTTCTTCCAAATGAGCTGTCATCTCTGTGTGAATGAAGCCTAAGAGCAGAAAGATATGAAGAGTTACCCAACCTTCGACTAAATTTATCTAGTGGATTTCCCACTGAATATTACAAAGTGAAATCTATTACCAGGATCCTGCACCAGCTACCATTCTTCAAAGTCTCCCAAAGCAGCCTACATCATTTGATGGCCAAAACCACTTTCTTATCTAACCAAAAAATACTTTCATTTTTGGAAGCAGTAATGCAATAACCAAAATGCAGTGATCTATAGAAGTCCATTTAAAAAACCCAAACAAAACCAAACAAGAAAGGGTAACTAAAATTCAATCCAAATACTATATTAGTAACACTTTTCTGAAAGACAAAATACACTCGTTTCACCAAAATGTTCTCAATTAAAATATGAGCACAAAATGTCTGGCAAGAAACCTTCTCAGACTTTAGTGTTTGCATTCTATTTTAGAACTCATGGCAGTGCTTGCGTAGTTTCTGTTAGAGCACTCACTTGAAGAATATTTCTTGACATTTTTGAAGGACCTTTTTTACAGTTTTCCATTATCTGAGATTTGGCTTTCCCACTGCTGCACAACTCTGCAACAAGCTGCACCTTTATAAAGAGCTGATCTTACCTGCTTTCTAGCTGCCATCAAGAAGGGAAAGCCTCCCTTTTGCTTTCTACTGTAACACTCTGCCCCTTCATGATGGCTGTGGATGAGCTGCTCAACTCACTAAAGAATAAAAGTATTTTCCTGCCTAGTTCACAAGCTGAACAGGTTCATGTAGAATTCTGAAAGGCATCAGAGGTAGTAGAAGGTAAGCAGCTGTGTACACAGTTATGAGTGGAAAAAATTCAGAAAATATAGGAGGGATTTTTCCTTAAGGGTGGCAGTTTGCTTGAACTAGATCATCTTAGGAAATCACAGCCTTTACTCACAAAAATAACTTTCAGGATTCCCTCCTTTTACTACAGGGAGACAGGGGTGCTTTTATGACAGCTTTCTCATGGTCTGTCATGTTTCCCTAATATCAAACAAGCATCCTCTAGCTGGAGACAAGGGTAGCTCTCCGTCTCTAAGTAGATCTAATCCTTCCATCTGCAAGGACAGTGAGTTTTGAAGAAGGATCGAAGAAAAAAAACTACATTCATTATGTAATAATGGACAGAAGAATAGGTAGACTCACTCTTCCAAATTTCTTGGTGTTCCCTTAAAAAGACTGAAGGTTTTCTGAAATAATGTATTATACTTTAAACAAACAAACAGAAGATATTAAAAATATTTACTTACAAAGCTGAAGAAAATAACAGAGATTAGTCTTAAGTTACTTTCAGAGTACAAGAAAGATCCACAGTCTTAATCAATTGCAACAGTCAAGGATGCAGGAATTCCTCAAAAACTAACCTGGAGCAACAACGTTGACCCGAATTTGCTTTTTTGCTACTTCTTTAGCAAGAGAGCGTGAAAATCCAACTAATCCTGCTTTGGTAGCACTATACACACTTTGACCAGAGTTGCCTTTAAGTCCTACAATACTCCCTAAAATAAAGAAACATCAAAGAGAAGATTAAATGGGTAACTTGAAACATTGTACTAACTTTATCATTTTAGTTCTAAACTTGGAATGAAAAATGTGATCACAAGAAAAGAGTAAAATATGCGTGACTTTATGCACTTCAGCCTGCTAGGATAAGCAAATCTCCCAGTTAGCTGTGATTTTTGTACAATTCATGTATCTATGTTGACCAACAAGCACCAGGAGAGTAAAATTAAGACTTTTCTAAAAAAAAAGTATCCTTGCCCAGATTAAAGAAAGAAAGAAATGGACTGAACCTATCAATTCCTAGTTAATTGCCAGCAGCTGGCATATATAGATATTGAAAGAACTGGTAAGAATAGAAAAGTTTCTTTTTTCAATAAAATATAAGCTCTGAGGTGTTTATTACTGAAAAAAGCTATTTAGAAGTTGCTGAAATTACACAAAAGAATAAGCATTCATAAAGAAATGCTAAAGATAGAACGTCTAAATACAAGGAAAAGGAAAACAAGTAAATTGTAACAAGCAATGTAATATGTTACACCTGCTAAACACTTCTAGAAGACCAGTACACAGAACTTCATTGGCTTGCACAAGCAGCTTACCTATATTGACAATAGCACCTCCCTGCTGCTGAATCATGACCTTTAAAGCAGCCTTGCATGTCAACATTGTTCCCAAAAGGTTAGTGTGAATCTGGGCTATCATATCTTCAGTCTTGGTTCTCAGTAGCAAACCATCCCTGACAAACAAACCAAAAAAACCCAAAGAATTCACTGAACAACCTCCTGATCATGTTTACTCATAAAGAAAAGACTGTTGGACAGAATTGGGCTGTATGTGGCTCCATACATTCGAGCATTTAAAATGACAATGCTGCAAGAACTACACACAGCAAAAAAAAAAAACAAGTTAGCCATGCTTCTGGACACAGAGCCTCCTGTGCAGAGTGGTAATAAGCACTGTTTCGGACCATTCCGGGGGAAAAAGTGGAAGAAAGAATAGAGGGGGAAGTCAAATTCAGAATGCAGATACTACAGTGAAAGCTGTATCATCTGTTAGCATTTTACTGCCATCAGGAACAAAATATTGGCAAGCACTTTAATATTGTTTTCAGATGTGCTCATTAGCAACACTCTTCCTAAGCACAAAGGGCCAGAGCACCTTACAGTGAGCTGCCTTCATCTAGAATTACCCATAGTCTTGTAAGGAGTAACCAACCTGTTGATCCCAGCTGCATTAACCAAGTAGTTAATAGGACCCAAATTCCTCTGCATCTCCTCAAAAGCCTTTTGGACTTCTTTTTCACTGGATACATCACAGCTAAGTGCCAGATGTCCTGCTGTATTGAAATATATATAACGTCACAATAAAAGCTGTATTTAATTCACAAACCTTCTTCAGAATGCATCAGCTCAGTTGCAAAACAGATGTTGAACTAGTTATAATTTAAGGAACCTGTTTAATCCCCAGGCAATTAAATAAAGACTATTTTCAAGTATTGTATTCATTAGTTATGCGACAATTCCTTGTCTTATATTTTTTGCCTTTTGGAGCCAAAAGTTCAGCATGAGCAGACTGGTCTCAGTTCTGGCTACTTCAGGAGCTGAGGATGACTCAACACCACCTCTGTTGTGACCACAAACAATTCCATTCATCTTAAAATTCCCATCATACAGACAAAAAAGATAATCTACTTTCTCAGTAAGTATTGTGAAAACAGAATTGTACCAATATAGCAGGTTTTTAGTATGTCTCAGCCTTTATTTTGCTTTCCATCTAGTTAAACAAGGAGGGGTTTTTAAGGACTCGCAGCTTTCACCAGTCAGCCAAGCAGGGAGCAGTGAGGAGATGAGGGCACAGCAGCATACGTACCCCCAAGGTCACGGGCAGCGCTCTGGGCCACGTCCAGGTTCCTAGCAATGATGGCCAGGCGGCAGCCCTTCTGCGCCAGCAGCTCTGCCACAGCTCTGCCGATGCCACGGGATCCTCCAAAAACAGCACACACCTTGCTCATCTTCAAAATAATTCATAAATTGCAAATAAACCATCAACTTGGCGTCCAGTGGAGCAAGACGTTAACTGCTGCTCTTGTCAACATCACAGCCTTTACCTGTTTGTAATAGTGGGTTACAAAATTAGTGATTTGGTTTTTATTCATTCGTTTGTGTTCATTTTTTATTCAAAATAAGCAGCTGAACTAAATTAGATGCCACCTCTACAAATGAAAGTTAATTCTTAAACATTTATGAACTAGTAAAAAATTTTAAAAATCACACACATAATCTAGCATTCCAATAGTAGAGTTATGGCAACTCTTATTCAGTTGATGAATTATGTGATTTAGGTACCTAAAGGCCATAATGTATTGTTCAGCTGCTTATTCAAGGCTGATGTACTGGTTGTAATTATATTGTTCTTGCAATCACTATCCTTGTGCTGAGGTCATTTAGCCTCAAGGTCTCACTCCATCGAAAGTATCTGTGTTGGACACCACCAGTGCAAATGTCACTGAGTATGATTTGAAACTACTGCATTCACACTGCTTTAATAATGTCTAAAAACCCCACTAGCCTGGGGTTTTTTGTTTCTGCTTTTGAAGGAAGAAAAAAAGCTTTTTGAAATACGAAATTATTCTGAAGTAGCTAGCTTTGATGTTTAAAATGGAGTACACAAAGAAAGTACTTCTGCAGATGATCTTTTATTCTGCAAGCTTTAGAAACCAATCAGCTGTTTTGGGATTTCCTGAGGAGACAGAGGCAGAATCAAGCAGTAACAATGAACCTTTTTTCCATATATTTGAATAAATCCTTTTTGAACCCAATTATACTGTCTTCATCCCGAGGCAATGAGTTTTATTATTTGTGGGAAAGTACTTCCTTTTGTTCTTAATTTGCTTTCTGATTAGATAATTCTATACATTTCTCCTCATACCTTCCCATCACTGTTTCACTCTCCACCTGTATCCTTTCAGGTCTATTCAGTCACTTCTACACATATGGAAGCTATTCAATACATCACCAAAGAGCGTCTGAGTCCCTAGACCTTACCCTTGGCCTCACTGAGGTCTATTAAACCCTTCTGGATGAGTGACAATCAGAAAAGCACCTGGTACTAAGTGTACCAGGCCACCACGAACTCATGCAGTGGCATGAGGATTTTGGTCTTCTGTGACAGAGTCCGAACAAGCAGACAGTCTGTCCTTTTCCCTAAGTATTCACAAGTGCCTGAAACCAACACACAAGTGTCTGAAACCAACCCTGGCAAGTTCTTGGAGCAATGAAAGCCCCCTTGTGCATTAACCAGGCATTCACAGGTGGGGCACAGGGCCCACCTGCAACGCAGTAACGCAGAGTTTGTGCTTTAACAAGAAACGCCATACAGGGTCCCTAGAGCCGCAGCAGGAGAAATGACCTGCTGTTCCCTGGATAAATAACGGCAGGGAAAACCAGGTATACTTGGAGCAACGCAGGCACCTGTATCACCTTCGCTCTTCCTTCAGAGCCAAACTATGTAACGCGGGACCCCGGGGCTCCGATGGCAGCACCCCACGGCGCTCGGCTGCCAGCCCAAGGGCACCTTAAACAAGGGCGAGCGGGTTTCCCGTAGCCGTGCCCGGCCCGACCCGGCGCCTCCCTCCTTCCCTCCTGCCGGCGGCGGGGCTGAGCTGGGCTCCCGCCCGGGCCCGGCTGCAGGTGGAGCCCTCGGCACGGGCAGCGGGAAGCGGCGCAGGGGGCCCGCGGGGCACGCCGGGACGCGCAGCCCGCGCCGCCGGTGCCAGGGTGGCAGCGCGGCCGCTCCGCGCCGTCCCTGCGTGTTCCCGCGGCCGCCCCGCGCTGTCTCTCCGTGTCCCCCCCGCCCCGAGCCAGACACGGGCTGCGCCTGCCGCCCCGCCACGGGCACAGGAGCAGAAGGCCAGGACGCGTTCCACGTGCACTCCGGTACCTCCCGGCCGCCGGCTCGCTTCCTCACGGAGCGCGGTTCCCTCCCCGGGCAGGCCGGTTCCGCTCCGCGCTGAGCGCATGCGTCACGGCGAGCGGCGTGACGTCACCGCCGGGGCCACCGGCGGCGGGTCCCTGCGGCTGAAGGAGCCGGGGCGGCGGGCCCGGGGTCCGGGGCTCTGCGGCCTGAGGGGCCGGCACCGCCGCTGAGCGGCCCAGGCCCCGCGCTTACCGCCCGCCTCCTCCGCGCTCGCACACGGGCAGCCCCTCTGCTTTCACCGTGCGCTTGTCGCTTTGAAACTCTGTTTTACAGCGTCGGCGTGGAGCTGAGAGCAGCCCTTGTTACCCCCTTCCTGCACAAAAATGTGCTTCGTATACAGATACAAGCAGTTGGATGAATCAGGGGTTTGTTTCTCTCATTTGCATGTATCCTTGCCCCAAAATCCCAAGGATCTTGTGTGAGGCATCACTGTACCACAGGAGTTACATTTCCAACACGTTACAGCAGATAGCCCAAAATACAGAAGAATCTATGAGATTCCTATTGAGGAACCAAAGCAAACTTCATGATATGCAATTAAACTATTATTAAAAAATCTATTCTGTTGTAACAGTAATGCTGTTTACAATTATGATCCATGTCTGATGATGTGCTGGAGGGGTTTCTGTGGACTCTTAATTAAGTCACACACACTGAATAAATTTTACCCCCTGAGAAATACTAATAAAAGCTAAGACAATTTTGTACAAAAATACATTTTGGATTTTTTTTTAAGAAAAATTATTAATTGTTATTATTTTCCACAGAGTAATATGCTGAAATCCTACTGGAGTTTCTATGAACAAGCATACTGTTCTTGCTTTTGAGTTGAAAGGTGTTTTTCAGAATTTCAGATTATACATGTTTCACGGGAGCTGTAGAGCATTTAATAACTTTAGTTCTATGCATGTGGGATTCTTCTTTCATAGATTATTCTTTACATATAGAAGACAAAACAGATTTAGGTATTGGCAAACAGGTGAACATCTGTAAGAAAAATAAAATTTTGAAGAAAAGCTATGATGACAATTAGTTTCTTTTAGCAAGTATATTTAGATTGCAAGCGGCTCTTTTCAAAAGAGTGAATGAGATTTTGTGATACAATGATGTTTATGACCATGCCATATTCTGAAAGCTTGGAGGTCCCTGTGATGAAGAACAAAAGGCACTGACAGATGAGACTGTGACTCAAAATAGCCTCTGACCAAAACTTTTGGTACCTAGCATAATTAAGGACCAGGATAGTTTTTCTTCAAGTGAAGCTTATAAGCAAAGTAACACAGAGTGCAAAAAAAATGGTCCTTAGTGATGTTCTCTGAAGATGTGTATGCTACAGAGAAGATGAAATCTGCCCGCTGCTGTCCTTATACAATATGATGCTCACAGTTAAGTGAAAAAAATATAAGTAATTACCTTATTTCTGACCTGTGTCCTCAGCCATACAGCTGACCTACTCTTGTAAGAAAGTTAAAGACTAATCTGTCCTGTACTGTTAAGATTTTGCTGACACAGAGTAAGCATGAGGTAAGTGTGGGGGTTTTAAAGTGTGTTATAGTTGACAAAGTTAAATATCCTTTTCAAAAGTTCAGACAATATTCTGTTTAATTCTTGTTCATTAACTTAGTGTTTAAAACCAGATGTATGTTCATTCATTGGCCAAAGTGACATTAGCTTTTTTTTTTTTTTTCCAGATGCCTGGTTAAATCACAAGATCAGATTAAGCAGAGTTCCTCTGAGCCAGTTTATTCACACTGATTTCCCAACAAAGCTAGTGCAGTGCAAGAGACAGATCAGTGTCATAATGATTCCCTTTTGGGGGAACAGTAGCTGATACAAGAACCTGATCTGATAGACCTGTTCCATCTATCATAACCAGATCTGTAACAGCTACTTCAATACTGGTCATTATTATGCCTGCCTTACTATTAATGTGAACATATAATAAGCTAATAATTCTTGTATGTCTGTCTGTGTGACCGTGTATACACACACTTGGAACCTATCCACAATGTACAAAATGATGCAGCTGTCTCCTCAAGCCTAAAGCATTCAGACATTAAAAATACTCTTCCTTAGAGAGTTATATTTCCCTTTCTTTAAATATTTTAGTCATTCTCCCACACAACCAAGATACTGCTTTCAAGTAAGAATTTCTCTATTAACATGGGAACAAACAGAATAGTCTCAAACAGGAAATGATGTTTGATATATCTAAAAGCACGAAACGCAAATCAGAGCAAATAGCACAAAATGGGCCACTGTAACTGAGGTCCCCTCCATCAGGTATTTCAAATTCCTCCTGAGTTTTGATTTAAGGCAAGATTTACAGAGCAACTTGAGTCTAATCATTAACCACAGTGGTGCCTGAATCTATGGCCTATTAAATTTCTGCCAAGAGTCACACATGAAAGAGCAATGCTGCTCCAGTGTCCAGCAGCATTTTCATAGCGTTCCCTGTACTGCTTGTGAAAGCATACCTCCCATATTACATGGGTTTTGTGTAAGGCCTGGGACAAAGCAACTGGAGAACTGGCTGTGTGTGTGCTCAGTCCTGTTGGAAACAAACACCTGCTGGTTGGAGCACTCAGCTCTGAGAAAACCTGCTTTCAAGTCTCCTCCCTTGCTGGAAACATGGTCACTAACTTCAGTTTTTCACCACTGTACAAGCTTGTCATAGCTAGCAGTCTGGAGTGATTTCAGTTCATAGGAACAAGAACAAAAAGTTAAAGTGGGCCAAGAGATTTGACACTCGAGCCAGATGATCACTGTCCGGAAATGTAAACCCTTGCGGATTAACCATCAGTTTAAATCACCATTCAAGAAACTATTTTGCTTTTCAACTGGTGTAATAAAGATCACCTCCCTAGCTTAAGCAAATCTCGTGATGGGGGCATGTATCTGGGATACAGGAGTCATGGGTTTAGAACAGAATTAAGCCAGGGAACAGCTCAAGAGGTTTCCTTCTTTCCAGGTCAAATGATAACTCCGTGACACGGCACACAGTCAACATACTGCCATACATTTCTTCCTGTAAAAAAAAAGGGGAATAACCTAGGGTTAGGGTTTTGAAAACCACAAAGCCCAGGGCTCCAGGCACACTGCAGCTGCAAAGGGCATCCCAAGGGGAACACAAAACTGCCACCACATGCCTTCCTTCACTGCTTTTTCCCTGGAACCAGCCCTAGCCCTAGGCAGGAAAAGCAGCCTAGGGCTAGGGCTAGGGTTACGCCTAATTTTCTACTTTGCCTAGACAGCTCAGCACTGAATCTGCTGTCTCTTTTTTTTTCTTCTTTCTTTAGGAATGCCCTTGTCATTTACCTTGGGAAATATCCTATCTATTTACTAATTTTATACTTATATATATATATATGCTGTATGCCACATAAAAAATATATAAATAAAGAACCGCCAGGTTTTATGTTGCAGTTCCCAAATGTCTTTGATATGGCCTCAACCTTCTAGGGAAGTGACACAAAGCTGAGATAGACTGCCAAGGAAGAATCCAACTGCCTTATTGTGCAACAGGAAAAAAACAGCCCTCTCCTCTCAGTATTTTGCCACTTGGCAGACCTTCCCCAACCACAGCAGTTCAGATATTTAAGTGGCCAAATTGCCACACCTTTGCTCTTAAGTGATCTTTTCTTATGACACTGCAGTCTGTTTTGTTTTTCTAGACCATGCAAAATCTCTGCAATATTTATTCTTGTGTGATAACAGTGAACTTTTATCATGCCAACATGAAATGGTTTTATACAGTTCTGCTACCTTTTAAAAAAATTGAAAACTTCTTCCTCTTAAGAAATTTCTTTCTGGTACCTCCGTGTAAAGTCTGAAAACTCTGTGAAAACTCTAAAAACAAAACACAGCACCAAAACCAAGAACAAAACAAAGCTATCAGAACCTTGGCAAATTACCTAATGTTTTCATATTTTCCTGGCTAAACAGGTTTTGCCACTAGGACCAGGATTATTTCACACGTCAGCGTGAGGCCCATGTTTGAGTTAGCACGGTCACTGAACTGCTGCTGCTCGCAGTGAGCAGTCAGGCACACCATGGAGGGAACAGAGAGGAGCCGGTATTACTGCTGCTTCATCTGCTGCTAAAATGGAACACCTCTCTTCCAGTGCTGACACACTATAATAAAACAACCCCAGCATTACCTGCACCTGCAAAGCTACCTTCAAGAAACATTTGTCACACATTCAGTCTCTGTCCACAAGTCCTGTCTGATCGCAGACTCTGGACATTCCCAGTGTGTATCAGTGGACAAAAGAGATGGAATCTAGGATCTCAGCATGTCCTCAAATCTCATACTTCCCTCCATGCATCCCACTCCTTATGTATGCCATAGAGTCTATCTGTTTTTAGTTCCTAAGTCCCAGGCCAGGACTAGGAACAAGGAAGAAATAACCAGCTCAGCCATCAAGGGACTAAACTCACCACTTTCTGTACAGCACCTCTTCGACAGACAGTTTTTGACATCATGACTCTGCATCACACAGAGCAGTCAGCATCTCCCAGCAGGGCAATCTGGAAAACAGTCAAAGCTGTCACCACCACAGAATGACATGTCACTCCCAGCAGTCTCCACTGACCATTTTGTATAGAAAGGATGGGTTTTTTGTGTATTGCATATTTCATAAGCGTCAAGAATATCACTGAGATTCTGGTACAATAATATCCAAGAGTTTTGCAGAAGTATTTGAATACTCCTGAGTAAATAACTCTCTTCCTGTTCTCTTAGAGGCAATTTAATTATATCTAACATACTTAAAATTAAGTAGTCTCAGAAACAGCACTTAAAAATAGCTAAAAACTGTTTATAAACATCTACTCAAGGTCTTGCACAATTTGCTTTTATTTTACATATGAACATCCTTAACGTCCCCATTTTGCCTTTCATAGTCTCATCCATATTCCCATTCACTACACATTTATATAATTTGCAAAGTAAGACTCATAGCAAATCATTTCAAGAATTAATTTATCTTGTAAAAATCCGTCTAACTAATACGACAATTGCTGATTAAAAAAAAAGAGTATTTTGAGAATTATTCATCAGCAAAGGTTTTCACTCCAG